CTCTATATTCTCAACTGTCTATCATAGCATTTAATTTATATCTTGAGTCCCCCACTACAGACATAACTATAAATCTGAAAATAGAATTAAATGAAATGCCCCAAAATGATTAATATTTACTATAAATTAATTTATGCATATCTCCAGGCTCTAACACAGGGCTACTGTGTATAACATGTGCCCAGTACGTATTTTGCAGCATATGTGAATAAGTAAAAGAGTAATGAAAGCAGCAAGGAGATAGGAACATTATGACTCTCATTTTTTCCAGGAATTACAACTGTGCTAACAATGACCACGATCAATACACACCTCCGGGAGACACTCCCCAAGATCCCCTACGTGAAGGCCATTGACATGTACCTGATGGGGTGCTTTGTCTTTGTCTTCATGGCCCTTCTGGAATACGCTTTGGTCAACTACATCTTCTTCGGGAGGGGGCCTCAACGCCAAAAGAAAGCAGCTGAAAAGGCTGCTAGTGCCAACAATGAGAAGATGCGCCTGGATGTCAACAAGGTAGGTTCCGAGGGCAAGCCCTCCTTGCTTCTTAAACTCAAAGAAGAATGCTAGCAATGTAGGCTCATGGCCTTGTTCAACAAAGGAGAAAACCAAGGCCCAGGGAAGACAAGGGTAATTTCCCCCACATCACAAAGATAATTAGTGATGGAGGCACAGTTAGGGCCCAAACTTAGGACACAACATTTAGACGCCCTTTACCTTAACACTAGGATGGTCCAAACCAGAGTCATCGGAGAACCCCCTTTGCGAGCTTTTCCATGTATGAGTATAATGTGTGCTATGATTCACTTTATGTTTGTTTACATTTTCTCACTTTATTTAAATTTCTTTCAAAAGGAAATTTCATATCACTTAAATCAGCATTACTTTCTGGAAGGTAATTTTGAGTATAAATAAATAAAAATGAAACTATGTGATTAAATTCTAGGATATGCTAAATTAAGGCTCTGGGCCTGATCTCTGCATTCGCTTTCATTTAAAAGGGAGATAAAACAAGTGCAGACATGTATTAAAGACCCATCCACAACCAGCCGAGATTTTCTCCTTGAAGTCATCAGATGCATAGAAAAAAGAAGTGAAAGGGGAAAAAAGAGTAACTTTCTTTTTGAGTGACAGATAATTACTTAACGCCTTGCGCATGTACCACTTACAATCGTTGGAGCATTTGGTACCAGAGGCCACTGTCTTGCCTAAGTCAGATAGTCAAAGAACAGTTCCCACCCAGTCGTACACACAGCTATTCTTCAAAGCACTGGTTCTCAACCCGGGGTGCCCAATTGAATAATTGGAAACGCATTAAACACACTGAAGCCTGGGTTCCTTCCCCAGAAATTCTGACTTGATTGTCCTGGGGAATGCCTGGCCATCATAATCCTAAAAAGTTCTCCAAATACTATTCTAATTTGCAGCCAAGATTTAGAATCTCAATTCTGAGGGCTTTTGACAGCATTTCCAATAGATTTTGACAGCTCTTTATTCCCAAAATGTGACTTTACCTGGCTTCCCATTACATAACTTTCTAAACTAAACAGAATATCTACATTCGTATTTTCCCACAGTCGAAACTTAGAACCTTCAAAATAGACAAGAAAAACAAGGTCTTATTTTAATATCTACCATAAATAGCATTTATAAAGTAGTACATAATTTTGGATTTGATAAATAGTTCATAATGAGGGAACTGGGACAACAGTAATACTTTTAAGCCATCTGGAATTATTAATCATCCAATAATTATTTAATTGGCATTTTAATATCTCTAACTTCAATTTAACTCCAAGGACAGCACACCATAAATAATTTCTGCCACTGGGTTTTATTTGGAGCAAACCCACTGGATGTCTCTGAGTCACTAATATTTTCCCCATATCCATAGGTCTGATATTTGATTTTGGACTATTTGCTAATCAAAGGCACCCTTTGCCAGGAGATAACATTTGTTATCATGCAAATTTTAAATATAGCCCTTGAAAGCCAATGAACCATGGGGCCTAGGAAGTTGTTGATTTCTCTTCAGTGTTCCAGTTTTCACTTATTGGAATCTGTTAATAGATTCCAAGCTAGCATTATGACTTTCTCGGGCTGTCAAATGAGAGAATGCTTTTTAAACCTGTTTTATGATTTTCCTGATAGAGAGGCTTTAGTAAAGAAAAGAAATTGAATAAATAAATAAAACTATCTCATAGGACGGCAGTTTGAAATGCATTGATTAAATCAATTGCCTAATGCAGAGCTGACTTAAGAGAACATCTGATCTCCTTCCACTTTCATGTACCTTGTTTTTTTCATGCCAATTTGCATTTAAATGATAAATTTAAGTACCAGAGAGTGGCAGTTTTATAGCAAACTGAACCCGGGGAGTTTCAACTAGCTTTAGATTCAGCGTACTGAGATGGAGGTGGGGAATGGTTCACTGGGCAGGTGCCCCTTTAGTGATGAAAAACCCATCCTCTTGCCTGAAGTTGGAGCCACAATTCAGAGCTTAGAATATAAGAGAACAAAAGAGACAGTAGAGTTCTAGTCCGGTGGGTTTCTCAAATCATAGGTGATTTTTGCCCCCCCCCCACCAGAGGACCACTGACAATGCCTGTAGATGGTTTGGAGTGTCAACACCAGGGTTGGTATCCAGTGGGCAGAGCCAGGCGTGCTGCTAATACCCTGTCGAGTACTCAGCAGCCAGCCCGTGACAGTCATCCAGCCCCAGATGTCAATATTGCTGAGGGTAAAAAGCCCTTCTCTGGTCCAGTCCTCTGGTTTCAAACACGAGAGAAATATAAGGGGCTTGTCTTGTTCTTGAAACTTTACCCAGAGGTGGCTTCTCCACTTTCTCTGATTGGCTCGCATAACATCAAAGTATCAGGAGTTCTAATTTAGTACAATGGTTCTCAACAAATATTTTGGAGTCAGGTTTAGCATTTACCCCCCATTTAATAGTATGACAATAGGCACAAAAAAAAAGAAAAAGGGAAAAAAAAGTCTCTCTGGCCCTTCAGTTTCCTCATCTGTAAAATGGGGTTAATTCCTCTCTCATAGGCTATTACGGAGACAAGCTAGTGTGTAGAGAGGATAACTCAGTCTCCAGTACATGATGAGTACTCAGTAAGTGATAAATATGGATAACATATCATAAATAATAGGCATTACTACATTTTAAAAATTAAATTTACAGTCTTCAGACCTATTGGCGACACTTGCTTGCGTGTTGTGCATGCAATGTAAAATGTGGGATGTAATCCCATCCCTAAAAAAGAGCCTTGTCTGCAGAGGCATGTTTCACGTTGGAAGTTTTAAAGTCAAAGCAGGGAAATCATTTTTCAACAGGCATTAACTGTAAAATCTGTAGTCCACCAACTTCAAACTTTGTTAGTTATTTCTTAGGCTAGAATACTTGATTAGATTTTTGAAAGGTGACCGTCTGACATTCCAGACTCCCACTTTTTTTTTTTTTAAACCCAGCATGAAGAGTTACAGGAGCTCCACTTAGGACTCTGATTGTACAACGCTTTCTTTTGTGTCAGCATCATGAATAATGCCCCCATAT